CCAGGGTGAGTCCCGGGGGACCCGGGGGACAGCCTGATGCTCAGCATCCTGCTGCAGCCCAAATCCGGGGGGGCGCGGGGACCCTCGCGGAGGGATGCTCAGGCTACAAAAAACCAGTCCCTGCCCATGTCCCTGCCCATGGCAGGGGGTGGCACTGGAAGGGCTTTAAGCTCCTTCCAACCAAACCATTCCAGGATTCCATGACTCCCGTGGTACCTGGGCAGAGCTCACTGCTGCTTGCAGGTGGAGAGCTTGCGGATCTTGCTGCTGGCGGAGCAGGCCTTGCGGGAGGGGTTGGAGGAGGCGCTGGCTCGGCGCTCGCCCTTGGCCTTGGCGCTCAGCTGCCCTGGCTCCGTCCCGTTCATGCACACTGCCTTGGGCAGCCCCCTGCCACGGCTCTGCCCGTTCTGCCCTGCCTCCTCCTCAGGCACCTGTCCTGCAAGGCAAGGGGCACAGTGAGGGCATTGCTCTCAGCACCTGGGATGGATCCTGCTCCTGGGCAAAACCTGAGGCTCTTCCTGCACCTTCGAGGAGCTCGAACAGGCTGCTGGGAGCCCGGGACTGCATCTCCCTCCCGACACGCCAAGGCCTGGTCTGACCCCAGTTCCCCCAGCACACAGCAGCTGGTGGTCCCCAGCGCACGGGCACGGCCAGGGCAGACCCCTACTCCTTGTGTCCCCAGGCAGCAGTTCAGCTCCTGGCCAGGGAGCAGAAGGGCAGCAGTGGAAGAAGTCACTTCTTTCTCCTCCTCCTGTCTTCCCTGGAGGAAGGAGTGCAGGTCCCAGCCCCAGGCACCAACCTGGGGTACTCATGGACAGGGGAGGGCAGCCCCTCCTGGCAGGGCCAGGGCTCAGGAGTGTCACCATTCCCCAAGGGAAGGGGCTTCACACCAGCCCCTCTCCCTCCTCGGCTCGCTGTGACTCAGCAGAGCAGGAGAAGAGCCATTCCCAGACATCTCCCACTGCCACGGCCAGGGCCTGGGTCCCATCCTTCACCCGGGGGGCTGAG